CACTTCCCCTGGCGCACGGAGCGCGCAAGGTGCGGCGCCACGTGCGCCGCCAGGGAGACCCCAGCGGCGATCTGAGAGATCCGCGCGGAGCTCCGAGGAGGAGCCGCCATGCCGCCGCCCTGGCCCGGGCGCCCTCCCCCCCTCTGCGCGCCGCCGCTCCTTCTTGAACGGCTCCACCCAGGTGCAGTAGGTGGACTGGCCGTACTTCTGCTGGCCCATCGGGCACGGCATGTCGTAGAAGAGGGGGTCCCTGGCGCGCATGTCGGTGTGGATGCCGTCGCACTGGAGGCCGCGGTAGCGATTGGTGATCTGCCACCGCTTCGTGGTGGGGACCTCGATGCCCTGCTCGTAGAGAGCCTTCTCCGTCTTGTCCGCCACCGTGCTCTGAGGCGCGAGTTGGAGTGTCCTCAGGTCCCTTGAGCCCCTGGTCTTCAGTCCTGAGGATTGCGTAGCAAGGGGTTAGGGGCCCCCCCGTGTTCCCACATGCTTTGTTGGAATCCGCAGGTCCCTCCGCCGTAATATGCCCCCTGAGATCGCCAGCAGGTCCCCAAGATCCCCAGGAGGCCCCCACGAGGCCGAAAAGATGCAACAAGTCGCACCTAAAAGACCCCCTAAAGTCACCCTAAAACCGCCTTCAAGAAGCTTCCGAGAGGCCTCCCATTCTACCCCCGCAGGCACCCAAAAGTCCTCAGAGCTACAACCCAGGCGCGGTGGCGGGCTAGGCCGAAGGCCACACATACTCGTTTGAGCCTATCTGCCCAGAGGTCTTCCGCTGAGAGATGGAGTTGAAGGTGATGGGAATCTTAGTTCGCTCGTCGCGCCCTTCGCTGTGGGTCGTCGTGGCGGCCATCAGGGCCACGTCTTGGTAGGCGGGCGAGTCCCACACCAACTTGACCTTCATCTCGTGGAGCTTGTTGATGGATTGCAGCAGGGCGCTCATCCTGTGCCTTGCCGGGATGAAGTTCGACCCAACCCAGACGACAACGTTGTCCCCCTCCGCAGGGTCTACACCGATCATGTCCATTTCCTTCTTGATGTCCTTCACGGGCAGCGTGTGGCTTGCCCAGCCGTCCCAATGGATGAAGGATGCAATGCCCTCCTCCGTGCAGCCGTGGGGCAGCTGGGCGGGGACCTGCTCGGCGCGGGAGTAGAAGCGGGCGTTGCTCTTCGTCTTGGTCTGGGTCTTCTCGTTCCTCCGCACCGTGCCCATCATGTCGGAGATGTCCTGCTCGGTGTGATTGGAGTACCATATCTCGGGGCACTTGTTGAGGCGGTGGAACGCATTGCGAAGAGACATCATCTGCGAATCGCCCACGAAGATGTGCCTCGACCTGCCATGAGCGCGCTCTTTCATGCAGTCCGACTTCAGCAAGGCCGCGTCCGGGCCCGTCATCTGCAAAGCGTCCTCTGCGTACCCTGCCCCTTGCAACTGCGCGAAATACGTCGCTGCGTCCCAGTTGGCCGCCTGGAGCATCTTGAAGGTGGGGATCGGGAATCCCTTGGCACCGATGTCCAGGCAGAACTCTTCGCTGAACTGAGACTTACCATAGCTGTTCGAGTCGTCGGAGTCACCTGCTGGCAAGGCTTGGGGAGGTGCAGAGGACAGCCCCGGAGGTAGTCCTGGCCAGTCTCAGCAAACACCCATTTGAACACCTGGTATGGGGAACATGGGCACCATGCGCAAAATCAAATGGTCCCCCAAATCCACAGCGGCCGATGTTGGGCAGGCGGCCTTCTGTCTCCAATGGACAGCCCCCGCGGCGGCACCGACAGCGAACTCTCTCGGTTTTCGTCCCCACTCTGTCCGTCTCACTTCGATCGTACGGACCCCTGGGCAGTCAGTCCCTGGGCTCTTTCGTTTGGGCGGCCATGGCACGGCCATGGCACGGGCATCCGTTGCCATGGAAAGACCATGCGGATGCGACTGTGCATGTGTGGATGTATTCGTGTATACGGTCGCACACATACATAGTGATACATGTATACATATAGTTATACATGTATATATATATATATATATATATACATATATACATGCACATATACATATATGTATATATCACACATGCTAGAACCACGAGCGCGCTGAGCGCGCGCCCTGAGGTTGCAATCACAAATTCGCGAAACAAAAATTGAGCGGCCGCGGGCTCCACTCCCTGCTAAGCGACAGTCGGTGACACCAGTGAGCGGGGGCCCTTGTGATGCGCAGTGGCAACAAGTGAGCGCTTGTGGCAGACATGCTCGCAGGACGAACTGCAATCATCGATGAGCATTCCATGGGAGAAGGGCTCAAGCAAACTCTGGCAAACGTAATGGACGAGCACGTTCTGGGGACAGCGTTCCATCACGAGCTCTCACTATTCGTTGTCTTCGACTGGTAAAGATGGCACTCTGGAGAAATGAAAATATCTCAACCACTCCCAGCGCGGCATCTCGGAGCCCTCAGATACGAGGATGTCTCACGCCAAACGGGCCAGGCCGCTTCGTGAGTTGAATTTTGAAGCCGAGAGCTGCGAGGATGTTTCAGGGGAGATGGGCCAGACCCCTTCGTGCATGAAGGAGAGACGGGAGAGGAGAACAAAAGGATTGATAGGGGCAGGAGGCAAAAGGCAGGAGATATGGAGGCAGAGGCATGAGAGGCAGAAGGCAGGACGGCGGAGGGATGAAGCGGAAGCAATGTAGAGATAGAGGCAGAAGAAGACACGGATTGCAGAGGGAGGAGGGCGGATCGAACGAGAATGGGGACGCATGTCCAAACGGGAGGAGGGGGAAGCGATGACAGAAGATGGGGAGGACGGATGAGAGAAGGGAGATATGATGGTGGCAGGAAGGGTAGGGCAGGAGGCCAGCTTGGAATCGACTCTCTTTTGGGGATAATTGTTCGGCTGTCCGAAGGCGGTCTGACGGGCTCAGGTGGCGTGAGATGGTCCAGATAACGTACGAGGGGAGGTATCTCAGAATCCCTTGGGGGAATAGTATGGCCGGTGTGGGCTCGTTTTGGGGGCCTATTGGACAGTCTTGGGGCCCTGGTCGGCAAATTGGACCCCCTCAATTCTCTTGCGGGTCTCTTAGGCCTTCTTGGGGCTGTCGTCTGGGACTCATCTCGGGCAAGCTTAGGGCTCTGTGGGGCCGTCTTGAGCTCCTCTGGGGGCGCTCCTGTGGCTTCGTGGGGCGAGCTTGGGCTCTTTTCGGGCCACCTAAAGACTAGGCGCACTCTTGCAGCCCGTTTGGGTCCATCTGGGCGCGATCCTGAGGACTTCTTGATCTGTCTGGGGCGCTCTGAAGGCTCAAAAGGCGAGCGTGCAACTTACATTGATGTGTATACATACATACACAAGAGTAATCAATGAGAACATCTGCACTGCTTGCCTGCGGGGGATCTTGTGGGACTGCTGTTGGGTCGTCCGTGAGCCGTTCTGGATCGTTCTGAATGGCTCGTGGGCCGCGGCGGGTTCAAGCCACGTGGACTTCTAGGGGACAATTGGGCAATCTTGGAAGCCGCGTTGAACGCCCCAGGGGGCCGCATGGGGCCAAGCTTAGGTAGTATGCGGCCCGTCTTGGGGCTCTCTGGAGTTCGGTCGGCCTGTCGGGGGGCGATGCTTGGCTGCTGGTACCGTGTGGGACGCTCCAACGGTCGAACAAGGGAGTGCGCAACACTCTACAACTACAGCGTGCGGAGATACCCTGAACAGTAACGACAACCCACATTGGAGCGTCAGTTACGGCAAACCTGGTTTAGTGAATCTGGCCAATTGAGGGGCCCCAGGGCCCTACCACTCACCGGGTCCCCTTACCCGGGGTCCTGGCTATACCCGACACGTGTTGAGTCAACAGCAGAAAAGAGCTTCCTGGGCGAGACCGAGCGCGGCACGCTGCGGCACGGAGTGCGGGTACGCCGCGCCACGTGCTGCCTTCTTGCACCGGGACACACGGCACGGCAGAGCACGCGAGCACGGCACGGTACGCGGTTCGCCTTCTGGGATCAAGCTGGGCGCGGCACGCCGGGCACGACACGGCACGGGTGGCGGGCGGTCACTTTGTCGCACTCGATGTTTTGAGAGCAGGTTCCCTGAACGCATGTCAACAATGCATCCCCTCAGAACCTTCGCTGTTCAGAGGGAAACCTTGAAAGAACATGGACTGGAGGCGTCAGCTGGGACGGTTTCGGGGACCTGTTGGAGGGCTCTTGGGCGGCCTTCGGGCCCTCTTGGATAATCTTGGGATCCTCTAGGCTGTCTTGGGAGGCACCTGGGGCTGCGCAAGGCCAACTGAAGCCCTTCTTAGGCCGTCTTGCGGCCCTCCTTGGGCCGTCTTGAGCACCCCTAGAGGCCCTCTAGCGCGTCTGGGCCATCTGAAGCATCCCTCGGGCCCTCTTGGGCATCTCGGGGCCCTGTTTGGTTGCCTTCAACGTCCCTTGGGGTCCTTCTGAAACCCTTTCGGGCTGTCTCGGAAGACTACAAAGACCTGTTGTGCCGACTCGGGCGCTCTAAACATTGTCAAACATGAACCGTAAAACATGTCAGCAACCGTGTGCAATCAATATTGGTTGCCTCTCGGGAGCCTTCCAGGGGTCCTGTGAGGGCCCCCTGGGCCCATCTAAGGAGGCCTCGTAGCAGCAATGCTGGGCTGTCTTGAGCCGTCTTGGATGCGTCGTAGCTGCCCTTGGGGCGCCTTGTCGCTTACTCGTGCCCTCTTGGGAACTCATGGCGCTCTCTGGGCCCTGCCCTGGAGCTGCCGTCAGAGGCCAGGAGAAACCCGGGGGGGCCCGGACCCAATTCAGAGGTTCGGTGTTCCGACTTGTGGACCCCAAACTATGCGTATATCCTTACTGAAAGGTTCGTTGCCCCCCCCCTAGGATAGAAAGGTCTACAGACTTGTCGACCCCAAAAATTCGTTGTCCACCCTGGTAGATGCGTATATCGTTACCGTTCCGTGTATGAATATACATATATGTACACATATATCTCTATATATGCATGTATGTATGCATGTATGCATGTATGCACGTACATATGTATGCATGCATGCATGCATGCATGCATGCACGCATGTATCCATGTATGTATGCATGTATGTATGTATGGTTGTGTGTATGCATGTATGTATGCATGTATGTATGCATGCATGCATGCATGCATGCATGTATGTATGGATATGTATGTGTACACCTATATGCATACACACATATTACATATATACACAAGGCTGGACCAATACGTTCTGTTTCGTTAGATGTATGTGTTGTTGTTCGTGTTGCTCTACCTGTTGTCCAATACCTCCTTGCCAACGCGAAAAAAAACAAACTAAAGCCGGCGTCCAGCAAAACAGCGTTTAGGTCCAGCCCTGTATACATATGTAGATCTATATAGATATATGTATACACATACATACATACATACATACATACATACATACATCGCCCCCGCACTTGCGTGTAGAAGTGAGGGGGCGTCGGGGTCGTCTGCACTCTGCGGGGCTCTGGCAAAGGAGCCGCGGGCGGGTCGCGGGTGGGGCGACGACAACCAGCAACAACAACAACAACAACGCGCCGCGGAATCCAGCTTCATCCACGCACCCAGATTTCGTGCAATACCGTTCCCCCCCCCTCACTCTGAAGGTGAAACGGTCATTCACTCTCCTCAGGCGCGTGGCTGAAACGGGATTCTGCTTCGGCTTGTTGCCCGCGACCCTCCCCGCGACCCGCCCGTGAACCATCTGCAAACCGCCCCGCGACCCGCCCACGACACATCTCGCGACTCATCTGCGACCGACCAGCGACGCCCACAGCGCCCGCCCTCTCACCTTTATCACCAACGGCGGGGCGCAAATAAATACGTACACATCTACATACATATACATATATGTAAGATCACATAACACATATAGATATGCATGTCTGTATGTATATGTGTATCGATTATGTACATGCAGTTCCTTTGCTATAGTTCTACAATCCTGGGGGGTGGGGCCCCACTTATATACATGTGTGAACATACATTAATACACGCATATACATATATAACATTCCATTATCTATATATCGACAATCCTGGGGGGTGGAGCCCCCCTCCCCTGAAGCCGCGACCCTCAAGACCCGTGGCCAAAATCGTTCAGGAGGGCTGCCGAACTGCCCGGCGAGGGCCCCAAGGAACCCCAAATACCCACCAGACGCCCAAGATGACCCAACAAAAACCTCAAGAGGTTGTAGAAATGCCAGAAAAGATTGATCGGCCCATCACTGCCAACAAAAATGCTTCCAGGCAGTCCAAGAGAGCCCCAAGACGGCCCAACAAGGCCTCAAGATGGCGCGAAGAGAGCTCTTTGACGGCCAAGACGCTACCCGAAGCGTTCAAAATGGAGACCGCGGATGGAAGCAGGGTAGCCAGAGGACGCCCCAAGAGGCCCCCAGAAGGCGCCCATGAAGCTTCCAAAGGCCCCAAGAAACCTCCAAACACTTTCGTGAGGACCCCGAGAGGTTCTCCGAGGAGGAGCCTCCACAAACGGTGCTTAGGAGAACGGGCAAGAATTCGAAAGATAGGGCGAGAATGGGGAAGAAGAGACCTCGAAAGGAGCATCACGACTCACATGATTATAACGACGATGACGGAAAAGGGCACCAATGAGATATCTACCCTGCTGCCCTTCCGCCTGCATGCCAAACGTCAAGGGCCAAGGTGCACTTCGCGAAGCGCCAGTGCAATCCCGCATATCGGGAGCGGCCAAGAGGGGGGTGTCCAAGAGGGGGGGGTGCAAATCATGACCGGCGGCATGTGCGCGGCCCAGCGGGAGGGCCAGGGACGTAATGAAACAAGAAGAGGCGCCATGAAATCTGGGGAAATATCATGGCCCCCGCCATGATATCCACCCCCCCCTAGTCATCACCCCCCTCTTTTCCGCCCCCGAGCATACGCGAGAACCTATCATGATACATGTGCGTATCCATGGACACCGCCAAACCGCAGACTTGGAACGCGCAGAAGATCACCTGGCCAACTCCCGATCCACAAACGGCCGAGGCCCGCCGGGACTGCCTCCAGGGACCGCCCGTGCTGCGCGCAGGAGGAGGAGGAGGAGGAGGAGGAGGAGGAGGAGGAGGAGGAGGAGGAGGAGGAGGAGGAGGAGGAGGAGGAGGGCTGCGCGCAGCTCTGCGCGCCGCCTCCCTGGCCGCCTGCGTCGGAGAAGCCCAGCTCCTCGGGTGTCTGTCCGCCGCCACCGCGGTCGGCACCGAGGGCGCCACCGCGGTCGCGGTCGACGGAGAGCGCCGCGGCGAAGCCGAGGGCCGAGCTGCCGAGGATGGAGGCGAGGGCCGGGCGCGAAAGCGCGGCCATCTCCTGGCGAAGCTGCGGGTACGGAGGCGTGAAGGGAGAGACTGTCAAGGAACTTGGGCCACGGTGGCTTGAGCCAGGGCAGGGCAGAACGCCAACGGGAGCGCAGTGACTGAAACAGGCACAACAACTTTGGGGCGGCCCGCAACCAACCTGACCGAGCTGGCCGCTCGGATGGACAGCAGAAGCAAACGTGGATGGTTTGCGTGACCTGGCTGTTGCAACTCCGGGAACAAAAAGAAAACGTCCGACTATGTTAGGTCGCTTCGCCCGCTGGTGATGTCGTCTGGGCTCGCGGGAAATACGATGTGATTCAACATATCTCACTGAAAACCTTCGAGCCGAACCTCCCAGTGGTGGTAGAACATCGTCGGAGCCTCCAAGGCCACATGCTGTGTTGTGAACGCCCCTCCTGCTGTTCATCTTCCCCCTCTCCTTTGTAGTTATCTCTAGATGACAGTTGTGAGGATTCTTGCGAGGTGGGAATTCTTGCATCTCTCAAATCGAGCACGGGGGGGACCACGCGATAGGAACTCTGTGCCGATGGCCATGCCGATTCATTTGCAAACATGGCCTGCCCCTGTCCACCTCCAGAGAGCAGCTGGGCGGCCCAGGTTTACATCCTCGGTGAAGCGCTGCCTTAGCGCATCGCGCTTTACGAAGCGCGGGCCGCAGTGACCCTCGCGCCAACGCGCCGCCCAACTGGAGAAGGATACGTCTTCGGATCATCGGATCAGCCCGCGGAGCGCCAAGCGCCGTTACCTTCGCGCCCGTGCGGAGCGCCAAGCCCTTCGACGACCCCGCAGCTGGCCCCTGGAGGCCGAAATCGAAAGACACGCCTGCCGAGACTTTTTCGCGACGCCTTGGGGTCAAAGTCGGCCCAACCCGCTGTCGCTCAGCTGCAGTCCCAGGTCCCCTCCCGGACACCATCCTGGCCAGCCTCCCAAGCTTCTCAGCCGGGGCAACGAGGATCCCCCCCCCCCGAAGCCCCAAGAACTCAGCTGCCGGGGGGGGGCAGCTGCGGGCCCCCCCCCGTTTGGAAAGGGCCCCCCCCACTGCTGCGAAAAGGCAGGGAAGGGGGGGAACGTCTGACCCCCCCCCCTCCCCGAAGGGCGCCCCCCGGCTTCGAGAGGGGGGAAGTGGGGGGGGCGTGCTTTGGGCTTCGGAAGCCCCATAACCCACGAGCCTTGAAAGAATGTGCACATGCCTCCGTCCCGGGGGGGGGGGGGGGGGATCTCTGACGGCAAGGAGAAGCAGGAGGGAAGGCAGGCTGCAGCTGCGGGGTCCCCCTTCTCCAGCCTCCCTGACCCCACGGAGGCGCTCTTTCGCACCCTCACTCCCTTGACTACCCACCAGACCACCCCAACGCAACCCGAAGGCACGAATTTGACCCGAGCTTCGGGTTGGGGGGGGGGTACGGGGACCGTGTGCTTTTTCGACGCTCCCCGATCCCCCCCCCCCCCATCACTGGAAGTGGAGGGCAAATCGAGGCCTTCGGGTTGGGGTTGGGGTGGCGTGGTGGGTGGTGCTCACTCACTCGGAACGGCGTCTGCCTCCCGAGGGAGGCGGCGGGCGGCGGGCGTGGATGGCGCCGAAGTGCTCCTGGGAGGCCGGCATCTGGGCGCGGCCCTCCTGCCAGGGCCCCGGCAACGGGGGGGGGGCACGGGCCACGGGCGCGGCCCTCTGCGAGAGGGATCGCGCCGTGGAGTACGGTGGAGATGTGCCTCCTCCCTCCACCTACCTCCTGCCTCCTCCTCCTCCTCCTGCTGCTCCTCCCCCTCCTCCTCTTCCTCCTCCTCCTCCTCCTTTTCCTCCTCCTCCTCCTCTTCCTCCTCCTCAAGTCTTTCGTCCTACCTCATCCTCCTCCCTTCCCCTGCCTTTCACATCCTCATCATACCTTGTCCTCCCCCATACGTCTTACCTGCTCTCTCTCTCTCTCTCTCTCCCTCTCTCTCTCTCTCTCCTACTCTTCCACCTCGCCCTCCTCCTCCTCCTCCTCCCCTCCTCCTCGTCCTCCTCCTCCTCTCTCCTCCTCCTCCTCCCCCTCCTCCTCCTCCCTCCTCCCTCCTCCTCCTCCTCCTCCTCCTCTTCCTCCTCCTTCTCCTCCTCCATTCCCGCGTTTCCGTGCCATACGTGCCCCTCGAGGCACATTGGTGCAGATTCTCCAAGTGCCAGGTCCCCTGCTCGGCCAGGAGGCGTCAGCCCTTCTGGCCTGGACTGTCCTCGCATTACATCGTGATATCTCGCGGCAATGGGTCCCCCGTTCTGCTGGTTCGCCTTTTCGGCTGAGAAGGTCGCTGGCGCCGCGTTCATGGGGCTGCCAGGCACACAGGCGATGCTGTGGGGAGATGCTCGATGAAATGGTGCCGATTGCTCGAGTGCATGAGGCAACCCTGGCGCATCTGCGGCCTTGCTGACGTCTGGATGGGCGACTGCGCACTAGGCATGACCAGGTCCTGGCGGTCAAACCGAGTGAATGTGGCATGGCAAAAACCTCCACGGCGGCTACTTGGCTAAAGCGGCCGCCAGTGCCCCCCCTGCGCGTTTGCACCTCTACTTCCAGAGCATGTGGAAGATGGCATGCTTCCCCACTTTACCAGGTCATCTGGAAGGTGTGGGGGGTCGTGGAGGTCGGGCACCAAACCCTGCAACCGCCGCATGTCCTTGAACAAAAATCTGAGCCAAGACGGCCTACGGGGGTGCTGCGGAAGCGAAATAAGCTTAGGCATTGTGACGAATGTCGCCTGGGAACCAAACCGGAGCAGCCCACCATAGAAATGCCGCCTCGTGCTGTCCCCAGGAGGGCCCAACGATGGCCCCATGAGGGCCAAACAAATATCCACAATGGATCTGTGAGAGCCCTACGATGACCCCGACAGCCTGCCCATCTCGATCTCTCTCTCTCTCTCTCTCTCTCTCTGTTTTTTTCCCCTTACCCGCTTGCCCCCTCGCCCTCCTCCCCCTTCCATCCTCCTCCTCCTCCTCCTGCTCTTCGTCCTTGTCCTCCTCCCTCACCTCCTCCTCCTGCTCAACATCCAACTGTCAATCTCTATGGCTGCCCGTTGCTCATAAGGTCGGCGGCACCGGCCGCGAGGCCTTCGCAGGCAGCCAGCTTGGCCATTGTGGCAAACGCTGGCGCGGAGCCAGACGTGAAAACGTTACCGTAGAGACGTCGTCTCGTACCAACCACCTGTCTGCGTTGAGCCAGGAGATGGGGCCAAAACTCCCACTCCAGAGTGGCGAAACACGAAGGCCTGGAGCGGAAAGCGGGCGACGGGCGAGTACTGGCCATGCACCAGCTCACAAGACAGAGACGGCACAACGAGCGAGCCATGCCAGCAACTCGCGCGCACAGTGCAATCTTTTGGGCGGCCGAAGTATCCGGGGTAGCTCGGGCCCGGGGTAACTCGGGTTTGGATTCCCGGAAAAGGAGCCCGAGTTAGCCCTGACCCGGGTTACCCCTGATGGTGTGGGGCTCTGGACGCCCGAGTTATCTGGCGTAACCTTGGTCCGGGGTAACTCGGGTTTGGATTCCCGAAACACGAACCTGAGTGAACCCTGACCCCAGCTACCCCTGATGATTCGGGGCTCTGGGTCATTTCAAGGTACGGGGCCGAGGAGCGGGTGTCCTGGGAGAGCCCTTCTGCATTACAGGGAAGGCGGGAACGACGCTGCGCAAGAATGGAGGGGCGCTGCCCGAGAGGTGTAGCTCTTGCACACCTGACGCAAACGAACACCAGAGTCATCATTTCAAGGTACGGGGCCGAGGAGCGGGTGTCCTGGGAGAGCCCTTCTGCATTACAGGGAAGGCGGGAACGACGCTGCGCAAGAATGGAGGGGCGCTGCCCGAGAGGTGTAGCTCTTGCACACCTGACGCAAACGAACACCAGAGTCATCACTGCAGTCCACCACCCAGCACCGATAGCCAACAGCAGCCAAGCGCGAATGTCAGCGCACGGCGCGCACGCAAATGCAAAGAAGCGCCGCGCAAATAGATGCAGAGGACCATGCTGACACACAGACCCCAGGGGGCAACCCCGGCAACGCCACCAGCAGGCGACGGGCGAGTAGAGGCAATTCGCCAGCACGCGAGGCCGAGACGGTACCAGAGGGGAACCACCTCAGCAACTCACGTTCACACTGCAGCCATCGTGCTCGCCAAAATCGTCGCCCGAGGCCTGCGAGGACGACGGCCTCTCGAGATACGAGCCCAAGGAGCGGGCGCCCTGGGGGGCGCATCCTGCTCGACGAGAGGGTCAATATCACGCCCCGCGAGGTTGGCGAGTCGCTGCCCAAGAGGCGTAGCTCTCACACACCTGGCAAAAAAAACAAAAGAGTCATCGCTGCAGTCCACCACCCAGCACCGATGGCGAAGAGCGGCGAGCCGCGCCACCTTCACACAGGAGCGGTGCGAGCACGATCCTGGAGACGGCTCCGTCTCAGAGCGCGCCCCTTCGCCGACGTTGCTGACGAATCCAATCTTCCATGTGTAGATCGTGTAGAACTCGTTCGGCTTCATGCGTGCATCTTTTGATCCATTGTGCCCAAGGCTCTAATTCCACGAGGTGCTCTTCGCTGAATAGGAGATGGCACGCTGGATACATCGCGCCCGCTGTCTGTCTGCTGCGAGAGCCGGCTGCGTGTTGAATGTGGAGATCGAGGGGGGGCGGATGGGAATTCGTTGTTCGTCTGGTCGTCACAAGCCGCCTCCTTGGCAGATGAATAATCGTGCGCAGCATTTGTCGCTGCGTACGCCGGACGCGGTTCTCCAGTTCTTTGGTCATCGCCCAAGCCTCCGACCCATACAACATAGTAGGTGTCACCGTGCCGTTGCAGAGACGGGTCCCAGTCTTTCCGGAGTGGTGAACCCAACACCACTACCAAGGGCGTGCTCGGAGGAGGGAATGACAACACTGGGCCGATTAGGACATCTGTGACCGACATCCTCTAGATGCTGATGTGGAACTGCAGCGGCTGGGTCGGCATGGACATGTGCCTCCAGCGGACCAATGGGAGGACTAATCCCTTCCCTGTGGCCGTAAATGCTGCTATGTGCTTAAGGGTCGTCGTCTGACTTGACTGCGCGGTTGCTGCCAGCGCTGGTGCCAGAACCTGGTCCCGAAAATGACGACCTGACCGCCTCCTCAGACACTCGAACAGTTGAACAGTTTCCTGGCCCTTTTGAAGAGCAGACTGCATGGCAGACTGCATGGCACCCAGATTCCCCTTGAGCTCCTCGAAATAATGCTT